AAAGAAAACTAAGAGGAAAACTATTCTCCATTTATTCATATATTTGTCATTTCAGATTTTCTGTATTGCTTCTGGATGATTTGAATTTCCCTAAGGTATCATTTTCTTTTAGCATTCACTTGCATTAGCATGGTTATAGCAGCTGCTTTGAAGTCCTCCTTTGCTAATTGTAACATCTGGGTCCTTGTGGAATGTGTAACTAAACCCATTTTCCCATAGGCCAATTGACATAAATAAGAGTCAAGCTCCTACAGCATATTCCTGCCCATAACAACACTACCAAACATCTAAGTAAAGACCCCAAACACTTATTAAATGTGAGCATTCACTTATTAAATGTGAGCTATGTACATTTAAGAAAGATTAATAAAAACAAGATAATTATTTACCCAATTTTGGTGAACCAGTGAATGACACAGTGGCTATAGTTGTAATGGGCTAAGTCAAGGAAAAAGGAATAACTGTGTGCAAAGGAAAATTGCCACGGGCACCTTCTCCCACCACGCAGTTAAAAACCAAACATGAGCAAATACAGCAGTTTTATACTGCCTCGTTTATTGTGCATTTATCCAGTTATCTTCCACTTGAATTTTTATTTTACAATTTTTTATCTTCCAATAATTTGTACTCATGCATTTTCCAATGCATTTATTCCACTCCAGGGTCAGAGGAGCACCTGCCTCAGTCAGGAGCCATCTGGTCGCAGGGGACTCAGATGCACACCCACTCACACAGGGACCAGGGACATGCCAGTGCACCTGAGGGCACATCTCTGGGAAGCTGGAGGATCCCCTAAGTTCCCGGTGATGTAGATGTCAGGAGAACTTGCAGACTCTAGCAGACAGGGGCCTGGCTGGGAAGGGATTTTTTAAAAATCACCATAACAAAAGGATGTTGAATTAAAGGAAATTATTCAAGGACCGGGAGTATTCTTCTAAAGAAGTGTTGAGTGTTTTTGTCTGTTGGCCAATTAATTTCCTTAGATTCAAACCACATCTCCTTTGGTAGCAGAATCAATCTAGCTTAGTTTTTTTTTTTTTCTCCCCATATACTTTTTTTTTTCCTTTTATTAAGTCATATACACATAGATCATGAATACATTTGTGCATTAGTGGGGTAAAATGTGTTGATTTTTTATACAATTTGGAGTGCTTACATCAAACTAATCAACATAGCTTTTACCTCATTTACTTAATTATTATGGTAAGACATTTATGTTTTATTCTTGATAAATTTGACTTGTACCCTTGCAATATGTTCCATAGGTGTGGTCCCACCATTTATCCTCCATCAAACCTCCCCTCCCATCCCTCTTCATGTCTCTCCTTCTTGTGCTATAGTTGTAATCTTTCATAAGAAAGTGTAATTATAAATTGGTTTCATAAAAGTACTGAGTACATTAGATACTTTTTCTTCCATTCTTGAGATACTTTACTAAGAATATGTTCCAACTCCATCCATGTAAACATAAGAGGTAAAGTCTCCATCTTTTTTAAGGCTGCATAGTATTCCATGGTATACATATACCATAATTTATTAATCCATTCATGGGTTGATGGGCACTTGGGCTTCTTCCATGACTTGGCAATTATGAATTGAGCTGCAATGAACAATCTGGTACAAATATCTTGGTTACAAAGTGATTTTTGATCTTTTGGATATACACCTAGTACAGGAATTACACGATCAAAAGGCAGGTCTACGTTCAGATTCCTGAGTGTTCTCCAGACTTCTTTCCAAAAGGGACATATTAGCTTGCATTCCCACCTGCAATGGAGAAGTGTTCCCTTTTCTCCACATCCATAGTTTGGGGATTTTGTTATGTGGGCTACTCTTCCTGGACTTAGATGTTATCTCAAAGTGGTTTTGATTTGCACTGGATAAAAGACTTAAACTTAAGACATGGAACTATAAAGATTCTTAGAGTGCAGGGGAAACATTTGAAGAAATTGGACTGGGAGAATACTTTATGAGCAGAACCCCCAGGCAATTGACGCAACACCAAAAATACATTACTGGGACCTAATCAAACCAAAAAGCTTCTGCACAGCCATGAACACAGTAGGTAAAGCAAGTAGACAGTCCTCAGAATGGGAGAGGATATTTGGAGGTTACGTTTCCAACAAAGGTCTGATAACCAGAATCCACAGAGAACTCAAACTTATCGATAAGAAAAAAAACAAGTGATTCTATTTCACTGTGGGCAAGAGACTTGAACAGCAGCTTCTTGGAAGACAGACTCATGGTCTACAGACACATGAAAAAATGCTCATCATCTTTAATCATCAGATAAATAGCTTAGTTGTTTTTTTATCTTCAGCTGCTCTGGATTCCACTGGTCCCAAGCATATGTGGTCCAGGGGTTAGTAAATAACAAAGACTCAGAGCTCCCCCTGCTCTTAATATATCTTTTCTGGGGTTCTCCACTGTGGACCAGTGGCTGATTGGCAAAACTGCTTACTCTTCTTGTGAGAAAGACTCTGGGTTTTCTATTGAAATGTTGGGCAGCATGCTCAGTTTTCTTCTGCTCTCAGGATAAAAAGCTGTAAAAAAATGAGAAATCTCCAGCTGGTTACTTCCTCCAAATTTCACACCCTTCAAGAACCTGCCTATCTTAGTTCACTCTTTAGTATTGATTTTTATTTATTTAATTTATTTTCTTTTTGAGACCAAGTCTCAAATAAATAGAGCACCCTGGCTTCACAGCTCACAGCAACCTCAAACTCAGGCTGAAGCAATCCTCCTGCCTCAGCCACCATCCCCGCCCACTCCCCCATCAGTAGCTGGGACTCTAGGTGCCTGCCACCATGCCCAGCTAGTTTTTCTATTTTTAGTAGAGACAGGGTCTCACTCTTGCTCAGGCTGGTTTTGAACTCCAGAGCTCAAGTGATCCTCCTGCCAGCCTCCCAAAGTTCTAGGATTATAGGTGTGAGCCACCATGCCCAGCCTTGTTTTTTATTTTGTTCAGAATCTAGTCATCTGTGGAAATTTTGGGTTCAGTGAGAGTTTACTGTAGCATAATGAAAGCATGAACCAACCCCCTTGAGATTTTGACGGGAAATTTTGTGAAAACTCAAAATTTAGTTTTGGGAGAATGTTATCTTTTAAACCTTCATCTTTTCCAATTAGAAGCCTGTTTTTGTGCTTGTTTGAACCAAAATCCATCTGTTTCTTTGGTGATTCACAGTAAAATTTTCTTCATACAGATCCCGAGCATTTCTTATAAGATCTAAATTTATCATATTAAAACCTATGTGTTCCTTAGTGGTTACCCCACCATCCCGTCACCATTCTGAGACTTCCCTATATAAGGGTACACTTCTCTCTCTCTTCCTCTTCACTCTCTTCCTTTCTTCTCTTTTTCTCTCCTCCTTGGTGCTGCTCTGCAGCCTCCCTCCCCCACCAATAAAAACCTTTCATACAAAAAATAAAAAATAAAAAACCTACGTGTTCCATTTGGTTCTATTTCCTTTAAATTAATGTGCACACTTGTGGAGACTGGGCCTTGTGGAAGCCTTTCTGTAGTGGCCTTTTCCTCTTGTTGTTGCATTAAAATACCCTTCTGAATGGACACACTGTGTGCTTCACATCAGGTCAGCTGAGACTGTCAACTGCCCAGTCCAGTTCTTGGTCTGCCCTGCAATCATTGTCCTGGTGGGCTCTTTGGGTTAAGATCACTGATCTTATGATAACTCTGTCTTTTTAGTGTAGAATTAAAGCACTTCAAAGACTATGAAACATTCTCTGTTCTTGCTGATCAACTTCAGAAGCTGTTCAAGCCATCTTCAATACCATCCTTATTATTATTATTAAACAGAACAAACCAGCTCTGAAAGGAGTTTTTCACAAATGTACATAGATACACCTTAAAGATTGGTATTGTCTTTTAGGAGGCAATCATACAATTACCTGGACTAAATTTTGAATTAAAAAGAGGAGGGTATTTAAAATAAAATAAAAGTAGAAGTTAAAAAAATACATTATGAAGCTTTTGAAACTGACCTATTTTTAAAAGTAATATGTTAAAATGAAGTTATACACTGGTTTGGCATATCCCTGGCACTTAATGGGAACTTAACATTTGTTGAGCAGAATAAAAAATGTGTATCCTCTTTTTCATAAAATTTTTAAATTTTTATTTAAGAAAATAAGAAGTAGTTTTGTTTTTGAATTTTGTTTTTGAGATACAGTTTCACTTTGTTACCCTCAGTAGAGTGCCATGCCATGGCATCACAGCTCACAACAACCTCAAACTCTTGGGCTTAAGTGATTCTCTTGCCTCAGCCTCCCAAGTAGCTGGGACTACAGGCACCTGCCACAATGCCCGGCTATGCTTTAAAGATGAGGGTCTTGCTCTTGCTCAGGCTGGTCTCAAACCTGTAAGCTCAGGCAATCCACACACCTCGGCCTCCCAAGTGCTGGGATTACAGGCGTTGAGTCACTGCACCCAGCCAACAAGAAGTAGTTTTAATCATATATTATAAATAGCGGTGGCACCTGAGAAAAGTATTCACATAGACCAGAATATCTTATTTTATTTTGCTGCATAAGCCTCTCAAAAACAAAACAAAACAAAAAAACCCTGCTTACCTAGACCATAATATATTTTATTGTGCTCCCTACTCAGCTCCTAAAAAAAGGAAAAAAAAATCACTGCTTCCTTAAAGTTACAAGAGACTTAGAACACACTAAAACCACTTTATTGTCATTACCAAACACATGAAATATACATTCTAAATGGAATATGCTGTCCAGCCAATAAAACTCCCAGAGCATCCACCAAGGTAAAAGGAAAACACATAGCCACAGCATGGAAAGAAGAAGCACATTTTTTTTTTTAAAAAGAATATTTTCAAATATTACAATACCTTTTCAACGTACCATAGATATCCTACATCCTTTCTATTCAACAAAAGGACACTACACATTACACACAGTTTGAAGAGATGAAAGCCAGATATTCTACAGTAAGAAAAAATATCAGCATCCTGAAATAATTTTTATTCCTGCCCATTTTCTTCCCACTGGAAAAAATTACACTGTTTTTCCTTTGCAAGAGGACACACAAAGAAGTTCTTTCCATTATTAGGTCCAATCTTCAACACTGTTCTCATGATGGAGCGTTTGCCATGGCTGCAAAAGGGAAAGGACAAATCTGCCCACTGTGGTGGGAGAAAGAAGAGAAAAGTTAGAGTGACCCGCAGGCTCAGCCCAGGCTCACATGGTAGGTGCCATTTTGCCTTCTCTGCTGTCACCATTACTTTGATTACAAAACAGACATAAGTCATTAGTTATTAGCCTTAGAAAGGTCTATGTCCTATAAGAAGCACCTAACAAATTTGTTTGCATTACATCTGAGCTTCCTTTTGTCTAAAGGGATGTTTACAGAAGTTCCTTCACATTATTAAGAGTAAATGAAAACTACCAGAATCTTGCTTTAATCACCAGTGTCTCTGCTATAGATATGTTTTAATTAAAACTGTACGAGCAAAGATTTGTCACGATTCTAATACTAAACTTCCTTAGTCTCTTAGGAAAAGAAAAAAACAATAGGGACTTTCTCAGACTAAATTAGGCAGATTACATTGTTATTCTTATTAATTTTGGCCTTACAAGAGGTACGAAGTAGGTGATAATATTTTTAGCAATATTATGAATGTTGCTAATGATATTTTGTCCATTAAATCTATAAAGGCTTCATAAAGAGGAAATCTAATTGCACAATATTTTAAATTGCACATGAACTTTATGGCCACTCTCTATATATCTTTAAACATTAGAATCACACACAGCATGGTGAGATGTCATGCTGAGGAGCACAAAATAAGATTAAAAGTAAAAGGATCCCAGGTTTGTGTCCCCCATTTCAGATTCACTTTCAGTGACATATTCAGAAATTGGGATGGCATGAGAAATAACCTATCAGGGGTGTCCAACCTTTCTTTTTTTCTCTGCCTCACCTTGGAAGAAAAAGAGTTCTCTTAGACCACACTTTAAATACAGAATCACTAACAAAAGCTGATTAGCAAAAAAAAAAAAAAAACCAAAACAAAACATAAAAACAAAATGGTCCATGCATACTTTTCATGATATCTGATATCACAGATAAGCAAAAGTCCTCACAAAATCAGCATGTGGCCTGTGGGCCACAGGTTGGACACCCTTGCCTTAGCTAAATTGTTATTGTGCCATCATTTTTGGGGGTAAGCTTGTATAGCAGTATTTGCTAAGATTATTGTAAATCTTAGGTGTGCAATTGTTTTTCTTGCGGGCCAATGCATAAATCAAAGTTTTAGATATAGTGCTGAAGTTTGGAAGCCTAAATTCTTATCCTGGATCATCCTGGTACTTTCTTTTTGCTCAATACCTTCTACTTTTTATTACAAGTCAAGAGCAACAACACTCTTAGACTTGTGGTTACAAATGTAGCATCATGAAATATACTAATAACCTACTTGTTGTTTTATTATTATAATTTTTTGGCTGAATATCTTTGAATTTTCAGTTCTTCAACATTCACACTTTAGACTGAATACCAATATGTCTATTTAAAATTTAAGGATAAAGCTAGAAAAGCACTGCTATTTGCTACACTTTAATGACCAAAGTAGTCAATTACATTGCAGTAAGCTAGATGAATCTTACACATACTTGAAAGAATCCACATTGTGCTTCTCCACGCAGGGGACAAGCATAAAACTGCCTGCCCTTGTTTTTGCCATCTTTCCTCACGACTCGAAGAAGGCAGAGGCGGTTGTGTTTACTGCAGCGAGGACTGCCGGAATTTGATGTACAAGGACCATCTGTCATTTTAATTTGAAGTTCACTGCAGTGACAGGTTACAAAATAACTACAGCGTAATAGTGCTAAAGGGGTCATTCACACCACCTCACCCCTGCATGTTAGAATTTCCCTCACAAAAAAGAAATCACATCAAAAAGTGGACCATGGTTGACTTTAGGTAATTACACAAATCAATTCTTTGTTTCTTAGGTAATTCTAATTTACTTCCAAATCTATGTATACCAAACAAATAAATTTCTAAAGGATAAAAACAACCAAAATGTGTACCCAGTATGTCAGATTTTCTTAGTTTTCATTGGCAATAGTCAGTTCTTGTCTTAGCCACATAAAAGTGTGGCTACTTTTATTTCCTCTGAGACATTCTCAAGTCCAGCTGTCTCCCATCCCCCAAGGTAAGGAGAGTGACAATCTTCTCTAATTATTTTCTCATAGGTAGCAAACTTTCATCAGTGGCTATGACAAGGCCATGGAGATCACTCTCTCCACTGTCCACTTTAAAGACAATTTTCTATGCTTTTCTTTGATCAAGGCTACTGTAATAGTTGCAATCATATTCCAACAAAAAACAGGCTGCCTGGTAGGGCAGAAAAGTGAATTCTGCAAAGCTAGTGGGGAAGCTCTATTCTCCCTCCCAATTAGAATCATGGGTATTTGGAGGTTTTCCTCACACACCTCATGCAAAGGTTAGAGGCTGGCCTTGGACTGCAGCTGTAGCAGCAGAATTTTCTCTTTGAGAAGGAGCTTCGTTATAATTTTTAATTTCCTATATTGTGCATATGCTACTAGTACCTTTATAAGTTAGTCTTTTAATAAACCAGATAAAGAGAAAAAAGTGTTCATATTAATTAAAACCAGAAATCCTTCCTTTTAAATATTCCCATTTTTTAACTTTTTGATGACCAGTTTATCCTTTCTCATACTTTGGGTAAATTTCTAAATAATAAAATTTCACTATAAAATAATTTTTAAAAATACTTAAAAGTCAGAGGTGTTTTCCCTTTTTCCTTATTTCTTAAATTGCATTTTTCACACATTTTTTTCTATAGTGATGACCTAAGACATCACAGGTGGTTGAAATCTTCAGAGAAAGTCATCTATTGTTTGTGACAAAATTGGTTTAAACTCATTTATACAACAATGCTCTGGTCAGTGGACCATACCTTGGGTACAAAGAGCATATGGCTGGGTATGGTTAACTTTACACTAAAAAAGGAACAATGAAAGAAATGAACTTGAAAGAAGCCATTTGGGCTTCCACCTCAATCTCACCTTTTACCTTTGTCCTTCTGCCCTGATGACATCTTAGCTCACAAAAATGTCAAACACTTGGGGCTCTAGCAATTCTCCTTCCTCAGTCTCCTGAGTAGTTGGGACTATAGGCACTTGCTGTGATACCCAGTTAATTTTTCTTTTCTTTTCTTTTTTTTTTTTTTAGATACAGGGTCTTACTCTTGCTCAGGCTGGTCACTAATTCCTGAGCTCAAGGGATCCACTTGCCTCAGCCTCCCTCCCAGAGTGCTGGGATTACAGGCATGAGCTCCCATGCTTGACCTTAGAGTAGTTTATTTTAATAAAAATGCTACCTGAATTTTATTTTTTTAAATTAATCAATCACATTGCATGTATTTTGTCATCCAGGATTATTTAAGGGATCAAACAGACATTAAAATGGCTCATCCTAGATGGTCTCAGGTAGTTCTGAAATCTTTAGGGACTAAAAATTCCAAAAAGTGACCTAGAAACAAGTACACAGTTTCAGTGCTTGCACTCATGATTAAAGTCAGACCTCTAGCCCCCGTGATGCCAGCAGACATGAGAAAATAGTACCGATCGTATCATTTCACTCTTCTGTGTCAGCCTTAGCATCAGTTCAGGAAATATTTCAACCTAAAACACATGCTCTTTAAAAATACATCACTTTGTTTTGCTGTATTTATAATAATTGGATCAAAGGCTTAAACTGTTTCTAGTTGTTTTTCTTAACTGCTTAAAAATCGGTTCAATCATCTAATTTACAATCCAGTAGCTAGATGGAATCACATATATTTAAAGACCAAACTGAGAATATGCCTCATCAACACTGTGTGGTAATGTGATCCATAATTAAGAGAACAAAAGCCAAATTACCACATAATTATTAAAGAAAAAATAAACTAGCCATAAATTATGAGTGAACTACCTGCTTTAACAGTATTATGCTGTGAGCTTCTGCTAAGCATCTTGTCCACAAGATGAACACTATAGCTGCCAGACAAGGGTAAAAATGAAATAAATGACAGTAATTTGCAATTTATTCCTTGTAAAGTAGCTGGGTGCAGAAGGGCTGCTGGGTGAATTTATTTCATCACTTGACATTTATTCTGCTAGTTGATCTTGATTGATTGTAGAGTCTCAGTCCTAGTGTTCTTATATTCAATACATACACAGGCTGCAGCATTTCTGAGTAATGCTGTGCACTGTGATTAATCATATGGTCCTACTACTAATGGCTTATGAAGAAACCATTTAAGTTTAAGGTTAAATTAATGTTTTTTCTTAAATCTCTAATTCATTAGTTAAATTGTCTAAGATTTCCTACAAAGCATGAAGGGGATAAAAATACACGAAGATATTTCACGTGGGTATGAATACCATAATATTTTAAGATGATCATCTCTATTCTTTCTGCTTATGCCATAGAACAGAAAAGGCTGTTCAAAAATGACTCGCTCCTACAGGACAGCATCCCAACTCAAACACTCTTAACTCCTTCGAGAGCTCCATCCTGAGACATTAATTAGTGTTAAAGTGAAAAACTGGTATGTTTACCAGGAAGTTAAAAGTTTGGCCAAATAGCCTAAGAATATGGGGAGGGGGGAGGGAGAAGGGAGGGGGGAATGGGTGGAGGGAGGGGGTTTGGAGGGATTACTTCTGAGGTTTATCTTATAGGGGTACAAGTGAATCTTTCTAAGAGTAGAATGTGAACGTTTTAAAGCAATAACTGAGAAAATGACATGAAGGCTGTGTTGACCAGTTTGATGGAAGTATTTCAGATTGCATGTGAAAACCCCACACTGTACCCCAGAAGTGCATTAATGTACATAGTTAGCATTCAATAAAAAAAAAAAAGAAAAAAAAAGTTTGGCATATAGAATAATTCAAATGTAAGTACATGGATAAAAGTTAAACCAGTTATCATAAATGATTATGAACATAACATTTACCAAAAAAAAAAATCAGTCAAAGATAAATCATCAGGATTAACTGATGTCAGAATCAGAAACTTGGAATAAATGTATCTATTAGGTAAAAACTGTCTCAGAATTACTAGGAAATAAGCTTTAAAGATTCCTAAAGGGTGGTTTGGAGTGGTTCCTCATCAGGTGGTTCCACTCCTAGAGGGATTAGGAGTGGAACAGATTCCACCCAAAGAACATCTAAAGAGTATTCACATCCATGGATTCAACTAACCTCGAATCAAAAATATTCTGGGAAAGAAAAGGATGAAAAATAATACAAATAAAAAGCATAGTATAACAACTATCAACAATGTATTAGGTATTAGAAGTAAGCTAGAGATGATTTTAAATATACAGGAGGAGGTGCATGGATTATATGCAAATACTGCCCCATTTATATTTGGGATTTGAGAATGAGAGTTTTGGTATCCTGGTGGTGTGGGAACCAGCCTCCATAGATGTCAAGGGATGACTCTAACTCTTTCTCTGCTTGTCTCCCAGAGGCAAGAAAAGACACACATGGGAAGAATCTTTGCTTCACATGTTAAAAATTCTTCACTTCAGTTCAAAACGCTAGACTAAAGACATCTGCTTTATAAAGGGGGAAAAAGGCAGCTTAGAAAAGAAAATCTGGGGCTGCAAACCGTGTCTAATGCCTGTACTCCCAGCACTCTAGGAGGCCTCAGTGGGCTTATCACTTGATCTCAGGAGTTGCCCACCAGCCTAAGCAAGAGCAAGACCCTGTCTTTACTGAAAAAGAAAAAGTAGCCGGGTATTTTGGTGCCTGTAATCCCAGCTACTTGGTGCACTATAAACCAACCTCTAGGAATCCTAAAAGCTTATTTCCTAGGGTGACAGAGTGAGACTCTGTCTCAAAAAAAAGGAAAGGGAAGTTTTAAAGAAATGCCTCTCTGATGGATGCTTAACATTAAGTAGTGACAGTTAGGAAGCTCAGATAAAGAGACTAGGTGGGACAAAGGATGGTCAGAAGAAATCGGTCCAGGAGCTGTCAGTAATCATTAAGGAAAAAGGTCGATGATAGTGTATCTTAAAATTTCTGCATTACAGGTAACAGCAATTGAGGGTCTTCAGGTCTTGTAGCTTGTAGTTCTACAAAATGTATCTGCTCTGGCAGTATCTATTAACTGAAATTACAACTTCTGAATTTTAGATACAAAAGTAGCAAGGATGCTCTTTAGGACCATCATCCCCAAGTTCTTTAACAGAAAGGTCATCCAAAAAAGCCACCTCAAATCCCTCTCTTCACAACACAGGATACTTACTAAACTTCTATAAATGACAGTTTTCCTTCTAGAGGAATTATTTTCCACTGGAAAGAAATATAAAAAAATGCTAAAAATGGTTATTGATAGCTGCTATGATTATGAGTGACTTACGTATTTTTCTTCATATTTTCCAAACTTTTCCAAGTATTCTGTATTGAGCAAGTGTATGTTTGCCATCAGAAAAAAAGAACTTTTTATAGATGGAGGTAAGCAATTCTATTTTTCATTTCCTTCCCATCTCTAACATTTTAAACTAGAGAAGGGAAAGGAATCTTTGAGTGTTTGATTTACATTACCCAAATCAATTCAACTTCCTTAGCAATGGATGATATTTCTGTCTTCTTACAACTTAATACAAATACCTTAAAGATCAAGGTTAGAAGCATCATACCTTTTATAAAATCCAGGGTTGCAACTTTTGAGATCTGGTGATGAGTAGTGGGTTGTTTTCAATTTTTTATGTGCTGGACTGAATAATTTAGACTCAGGGCAGACTGCAGGTGATATGTTTACTTTGCTAGATAGTTGAGGTAGACGGTTTGTTCTCTCTTTGGAGGGGTGCTGTGTATCACTAAAACAAACATTAGTAGGAAGAGAGTTGGAAAATTCCCCCTCTGGTATCTGGCTTTGGCTTGTTTTTCTTTCCAAAGTACTGGATTTATTGCTAAAATCACTCAAGACAAGGGTTGTGGTTCCGAATGCAGTTTTTCTGTTGATTTTCACTTCTCTATCTGGTTTTCTGAAGCTATTACAAGGGAATTTCACTAAGTTGTTAAAGTCAATAAGATTTTCTTCACTCTTGAACACTGAATCTGAAAGAAGACAAATAATTCTGTAACATAAATATAACATACTGACTATTCAAAACATTTTTAACTAAAAAAATCAGTTCACTTTCTTACAGTGAACTAACATATAAAACTAGTATTATGAAATCAGCTTGAGCAGGTCAGAATTAATCTTCTTCTGGTTAGGAAATGAAATATTATTTCAAATGCAAAATTTCAATAACTTTTAAGACCCAGAGACGGGTTTAACCAAAGATTGGCATTTGCTTTATATTACACTTAAGCGTTTAAAGGTCATTCGGCTATCCATTTTGCTAATATTAGGCAATGTATTAAAGAAGTGATAATTAAGAGATGATACCCCATAAATCTTTAGGTCAGCAATCAGAGGCCTATTTCTAGACTCCTTGGGATGTGTCTGTGAATGTCAAGACAAAGTGAAAACCTTGTATTAACTAAGATGAATTATGAAGACTTATCATTTATTAAATACAATGTCTCAACAAAGTATCCTAGGATCTTGGATTCTGTATTATAGTATGTTCTATATTGTTGTTAAGATACATGTTTTTCATACTCAGAAAATTAGCAGAATTGTTAATGAGACGTGTAAAGGCACTTCAGAATGTTGAAATGCGAGTGTAAACTTGAAGATGGTGGTTTTCTGTGTGCTCCAGGGGGTAGAAATACGAGGTGCAGCCCCTTCTGCTGGCAGCAAAGCAGTGCAAGGGGTGGTGCCTGCCTTACTGGCCCAGGGAACAAAACACAGCATGACAGGAGCACAATGTAGGGGTTCATAAGTCAAGAATGAACTTTCTCATCTCTAATTGAAGAAAGAAAGAACGCTTTGAGAACACAATAGAAGCTGCAGCAATGAGATGGTTCCTAATCACAGGTTTCCTCAGAGGTTTTACATTCTCTAAACGCGTGAAATCGTGAGCTATAGAGAGTTATTCTGAAGGATTTCAATGAAATCAGTACAATTGTCTGGGTAAAGATTTTAATAACAAGGGGTAGAAAAGATAAAGAAGAGAAAAAAATCAGCATTTTTCTATTCCACCTGCAAAGATATTCTTACAGAAACCCTCCCTTTCAATTTATGACACACTTGGACTGAATAACAAACTCAAAAGTTGCTGAAATCTGCATAAAACAAAGCTTTATTGAATAATTCATTAGAAACAGAGAACAGATGTGATAATCTCTGTTTTTTGAGATACAAAGGCACATACTATTTTAGCCCAAGCATGTTTTCTCTCCTTGTTTTAAAAAAATATATATTCAACAGAATATTAGCATAGTTTACATAGAAAATCTGGCAATTCCTTTAAATCTTTAGGGAGAAAAAGCATTTAACTTAGTTATGGAATATCAAGATGGTACAAGACTTGGTATAATTAACCCTCTTAGGACATAACACACTCAAAATCAAAATTCAGTCTTACCCATAGGCCTTGAGGTCAAGCAAGCATCACATGCCTTAGAAGATGGCTTATTTATTAGTGTACATACTCCACACGTCCATTCTTCTTCAGATCTCCGAGCCACAGTGTCCATAAGATGGTCCACCTTGCTGGATATCCAACTGATTATAGTATTTCTAGCTGGTAAATTGCTACGAAATAATTTTAAAAATTAGTCATTAAGATTGTTATTATTGCCTTGTTCTTAGACATTCTAAGTTGAAAGCTATTATAGAATCATCAACATTCCAATGCTACCTGTTCATAATGGCTTACAAGTTACATCTGTATCTTAGAATAAAATGTTTTCACTTGAACCCTACTAAATGCTGTTAAAGTCAGAAGTAACAAATAAAAATTTTTATTTAGAGTTAAAGAATTGTGTTTTTTTTTTTTTTTTCATTTGTTTTTGGTTTTTTGCAATTTCTGGCTGGGGCTGGGTTTGAACCCACCAACTCCGGCATATGTGGCTGGCACCCTACCCTTTTGAGCCATAGGCGCCACCCAGAATTATGTTTTTTTAAACTAAAAAATTTAGCATAACTAGGAAGTATTGCTCAAATAACATGTTAAGCATTAAAAAATCTAAATTAAAATATCTTTATTCAACCAAATCAGACAGGGAGAAAAAGGAATTATACAGAAATTAGAGGACTGAAAAGAGAACTCTAGGCAATCTGGAATATCTCTGCAGTATCTGCTTAATACTATACCATATTATCAATTCATTGATCTGTACTGAGGAACAAAGATAATCTATTCTTGTGTTACTTCCCATCATGTAAAACTCTTTCCTGATAGATATGTAACTAACAGATTAGTAAGCAAACAATAAAACCAACCCTGATTTTTGGCCACAAATGCAAATCACAATTTTCCACCTGAAATTTACTTTTTTTTTTTGAGACAGAGTCTCACTCCATCACCCTGGGTATAGTGCCATGGCATCATAGCCCACAGCAACCTCAAACACTTGCGCTCAAGTGGTCCTCTTGCCTCAGCCTCCTAAGTAGCTACGACTATAAGGCACCCACCACCATACCTGGCTAGTTTTTCTGTTTTTAGTAGAGACAGGCAGGGTCTTGCTCTTGCTCAGGCTGGTCTCCAACTCCTGAGCTCAGGCAATCTACCTGCCTTGGACTCCCTGAGTGCTGGGATTACAGGTGTGAGACACCACACCTGGCCATCTAAAATTCTTCACTGATCATTTATTGTTGCACAAAGTGACTTTATAAAGCTCTGATATAGTCCTATTCTCCAATACCCACCCATAGGTTGCCCATCACATGGTTCAGCATCCACGGAAGGATCATGGATTCTTTTCATGATTCCAAACATGCATACTGAAAAAACCTCTTCCAGGTAAGGACCATGTGTCTGGCATTTCAGAACACAAGTTCTTTGACTTTCAAAGATAGGCGTCCTCAAACTACGGCCCGCAGGCCACATGCGGCCAGCCTAGGACATTTATCCAGCCCGCTGGGTGTTTTTGCCACCGCTGCCTGTCCTGCTTAGCAACCGACTTGTCCAGGGGCCTGCAGTCCGGCCCTCCAATGGTCTGAGGGGGCAGTGAACTGGCCTCCTGTTTAAAAAGTTTGAGGACCCCTGTTCAAAGATAACCTTGTCTTTTGCAACATTTTGTTCCTTACATAAAATTACACCAGTTTTTAAAATCAGGCATGTCAGGTAAAATAATAAATAGCATAAGAAAATCTGAAAGTCAGATACATCTCAATACAATTCTTAAATCTTTGTTTACCTAGACTTTTAATGGTACTCAATATTTCTTGTTCTTAGAGAATATCACACCTTCTACAGAATTTGTTATTTGACCTAATCCCTGACCTCGACTAACTCATTTTAAAGGCAACACAGTGCATTCATTCATAATTAAGTATAAGTTAAATGACCTTCTGACTTCACTACTTGTATTTTCTTTTGTCCTACAGGCTTTTCTAATCACAAGGGGATATTTATTGTTACATATAAAGACTTTGGAAGCATTTTTTCCCACTGCTGTATTTCTTAATCACCCACTACTAAATTTTTTCCAATCTCCTCCTGGGTATGTAACAGGAATCTTAAACTTGACATATTGCAGTAGGCCAAATTATGGCCTCCCAAAGATATTAGGCCATAATCCCAGGAACCCATAAATGTTACTTTGTAACGAAGGCCTTTGCAGATGTAAAGAAGATCTTGACAAAGGGTATCCTGGATTATACAAGTGGTCCCTTGTAAGAGAGGCAGAGACAGGAGTGATGCAGCCACACAGCAAGGAAGGCAGAAGCCACATAAACCACCAGAAGGGACTCTCCCTTTGAGTCTCCCAAGGGGGCACAGCCCGGCCAACACCTTAATCTTGGCCAAAGAAACTGATGTTGAATTTCTAGCATTTAGAATTTGAACAAATAAATTCATTACTTTAAGCTACCAGGATTGTGGTCATTTGTTCCAGCAGGGGCAAGAAACTGATAGAAATAAAATTCGTGATCCTCAGATCTGCAGCTCCACTGGCTTGTCTCGTCAGTAAAAGGCACAAGCATCACTCAGGAGATCGGGCCAAAACGTCTAAGTTGTGTGTAAGATGTTAGAGGCGAAAAGTGATTTTGTATTATAAGCAGCTGAGATGAGGAGGGGAGAAAGAAATAGAATAGACTGAATTTGAAACAACTGGAAATTGAGACGGGGAGAAATGAATTAGGGAACAGCTCCTATGTTAACTGTTAACTGGCAATTTTACTCAGAAACTATCCAGGTTACTGGGTAACTCGTGACTGGTCAACAATGTGTTAAAATACAAGTATTTCATGACTATTTAAAACCCTCTTAAGACTTCTGGTTCTACTCAGAATAAAAAGGAAACTTCTTTTATAACCAAGCAGGCTCTGCCTGCCCTCCAGTTCTGGCCAGGCAGAACATCTCCCTGCCCTTCATTCCTTCTGCTCTGGTCAGTCCCACAGGCCTTCTTATCTTTCCTGGAGCAAGTCAGAGGCTTCATGATTTCTGGGCTATTCTTTGAAAACTCTCTCCCACCCCCGGATCTTGACAAGTTATCAGATCTTTTCAACAATCTCCTCGGGGACTTATCTGCCCACTCTGTCAAGATGAGCCTCCCCTGTCACCGTGCCCCACTGTGGCCAATGCTCTGGGGAGCCCTGAGATTCAGCAATCAGTCACTGTCTGTCTGGCATCTTACGTGGATAGATAGGTTTTTCTTAAAAAATATTTTCCCACTGGAATATAGTATTCTATCAATATTCCATAAACATAAGTTTAATGTGCAAATTTTGCTCTTTCATACCTATTAAAACTTAGTAAAATTGACTTCTTGGCCAGGTGCAGTGGCTAATACCTGTAGTCCCAGCACTCTGGGAGGCCAAGGCAGGTGGATTGCCTGAGCTCAGGAGTTGGAGTCCAGCCTAAGTAAGAGCAAGACCCCGTCTCCACTAAAAATAGAAAAACCAGCTAGGCATGGTGGCGGGTGCCTAAAGTCCCAGCTACTCAAGAGGATGAGGGCAGGAGGATCACTTAAGTCCAGGAGTTTGATGTTGCTATGAGCTATGATGATGCCACAGCATTCTACCCAGAGTGACAGAGTCACTGCCTCAAAACAAACAAAAACTGCCTTCTTGAAAATCACCTACCTCAGTTAGCAAATAGAGTGGCATCCCTCAGCAGCCCCAGCCTCTCTTAACTCAACTGAATTTGACTATCTCAACCACTTCCTATCTTCATTCATTCCTATGGCATCATGGATCTCATGGGCACCTTTTCTTCTTTTGATCACCAAAGTTAAGGCAATAGTGGGATTCTCTCCTGGACATTCCTCCCTTTCCTCTGTGCATTCTCTCAGCAGTGCAAATACTGGCTAGTTCAACTGCCATCTCAGACTTCCTGCAGGTGGGGAGTGAGGCAGGGGAATGGAGGACAATGAGGTCTCCAAGGAATCTGTACTTCTCCATGGAGACAAGTTATTAGCATGGGAAGAAACTGATTGTTTTTTAAACTGAAAAAAAAAAAAAAAAAAAACCAACTACATGAATAAACAGTATTTAAAGGTTTGAATAAAAAGAACTTCCAAGCTGCTGCTCAAGTTCTATTTCCGTTGAGTCATCGGCTTATCTCACTTGGTCCACTTTGAATCTGCATTCTTGGGAGTACCTGAAAGCCCTTCAGAATGTAGCTCTTCTGCTAAAACCAGAAGGAACTTACTAAGGTGAGACTTGAGGCAAGCAGGAAGTGGCTTAAACTTGCCTTTCGTCCTCCTATTCATTCCACCTGTAGAGTCCAGGCAAGGTCAACTTCATGGGCTGCAGTCTCAAAGGGTCTGGTTCCTATAGCTTTTCCATTAATTAAGCTAATGAAATACTTATTCTGGCTACATGACCCGTAAACTAACATTTTAGTTTATAATAATTTGATCCGAATTTTTCACTGTAGTCAAAAGAATCCCTTTCTAATTTTGTTGTAAACATAGCAACAATGCAATCAAACTGTTTTCCCAGAACAAGTTTATCCTACCAAGCATAGCCCATCACAGGTTTTCTTATGTTTCTTTCCCAAGTGCCCTCCAAAGTCTGTGCCAGGTCATACACCTACTCTAAGGATTAGTGTGCAAACAGCACTGAATTCTTCCTGACTGGCAACCAGCTAACAGTACAGTTTCCAAACTAGATGGTCTTTAGAGACTGAATGTTTTCTTAAAGATTAAAAACACCCAAATGCACAAGGTATTCCCTCCGAGCCATTTCCTCTTCCAAGAAATCCTTGTCCTACTTCTTGTCTATGATGAATTCCTATTTCCTTCCACACTAAGCTCAAATATCACCTCTTTCAGAAAGCTTTCCTTGCCCTTCCCAGGCATATTTAAGTGTTTGCTTCTCTGTACTTCTACTGCCATTAGTATAAACATTCTCCTTTACAGTGCTTCTGTTGTGGAGAAGAAGAAATTATTTACTCATTTACTACCCACACCAGACGTTGTGCATGTTGGTGGGCCATGTTCTATTTTGTCTTATTCCCAAGACCTGGCAGGTAGTAAATCCTTATAAAGAAAGTAAACAATAAATTTTAAAAAGTTAATTTTAAAAAAATTAATAAAGAAATACCTCAAGTAGTTTCCCCTAAACGACACAATATTCACATGCATAAATGATGCTAGATTAGTATGTAATTAAGAGTGTGGCTCAATTAATGAAAACTGGAAAATTTGGGGAAACTTCACAAATGAGTTAAGTAAGTTTTTAGCAACTGAAGGAACATGAGGATTTAGCTCATGGCTCTTGAGCTTTTCTGACTTCTTTAGTTGACTGTAAAATGAGACAACTTAGTCAACAAAAAAGTGTTCAAATACTCATCAGAAAATAAATGGAATATATTAATCACAGAAAAATCTAAGAATAGAGCAAATAGAAGTGGTTTTCAAGCGTTTTTATTATGTAAACATTTATTTTGCACTGTATAATTGGTTTTCCAAACAAAGACTTCAGCTGGGTATCTACATATAAAACAGAATGAGATTAGGAGGGAGGAGAGCTTACAAGACCCAGAACACTGTCAGTATAACATAGTTTAAAATATGTTTAGATAATTAATTGTATATATTGCGTATACATCTAATTATATGTATCTATAATTGATGTATCTCTATAACCAGATTTTGCAAGGATTACTAGACATTGGCTCTAAACCTCAAACTTTTTAAACAGGAGGCCAGTTCACTGTCCCTCAGACCGTTGCAGGGCTGGACTGTGGGCCCCAAGACGAGTTGGCTGCTAAGCAGGACAGGCAGCGGTGGCAAAATCACCTGGCGGGCTGGATAAATGTCCTAGACGGGCTGCATGTGGCCCGCTGGCTGTAGTTTGAGGACGCTTGCTCTAAACTGACAATTCCAGGAGATCCAACATATCACTGTGGTCCACCAGACAGGTCAAGCAATGAATGGCATTTTAGCTTAAGTCCATCTACACGGGGGCCCCAAACCTCTCCTGTGGTCATTTCCCCAGTTCCAGAATATATAATTAATTGGAAGAGACATACTCAGTGGCTAAAAGAATATTATTTCTAAGTAAAGCAAAAACTTTTGGACACTTGGTTTTTTTCCAATCACTGATACCTCCTGGTACTTACTTTACAAACTAGAATAAAGCTAAAGGCTAGGTATGATCTAGAGATTTCCTACTAGGATTCAGAAGTGGCTCATAAATCATCATTGACCCCTTCTGGTCTTTTGATGATGTTACTCTTTGCATTCAAGCATTTAGACACTTTTGAATTATGTTTTCTCATGAATAGCCTAATGGTTCTTCAATTTTATTCTCTGATTATAAAATCTAGCCTTATAGTTAAATGATTGGGGCAAATGGTATCTCTTTAAATCGGCTATCTTACCAAATGTCAACATGTTGAGGATTTTCTTTCTGACACTGAGGACAGAAATATGTCATTCTGTTGTTCTCTCCGAAGCGACACACAGTTATTTTGCAGTGGCACTGACCACAATTAGGACGCTTATAAACCTTATAATGTTTAGAGATAGCAGATCCTGCTTTATGGCACTAAAAAAAAGAAATAAAATTAAAAAACAAATTATGTTTTCTATCTATAAAATGGTGTCGCTGAAGAGCCAAATTCTTCACAGTTATTTCTGAAAATGATCTACTAAAAATTTACATATGTTTGCACATATGTCCATATGATCTTTTCCTTCATCTGAGAAAAGGGTATTGACAAGATTCAGTAATATCTGTCAAAGATTTATGTGAAATAATTAAATCATTATTTTATAACTTATTAGTATTCAAAACTGTTCTTTGCATAGCTTTACCCTCTTATCTCAGTGAGATATTAAATAAAGTCCTATATTTTAAAATGTCCTTTATCCTTTAAAGGTTTTTCTTTAATTAAAGGTAATTATGTGGTTATAAGAAAAAGCACAGATTAGCTTTTAATCTGATTATTTTCAGAACATTGAAGCTGCTCACTCAGTTTTACCAGTCCAAAGGCTTATTTCTAGGGGACAACATTTAACAAGAGCATCTTCTTTGTCGACCTGAAGGACAATTTTTTAACTTTAGAGATTCACTAAAAAGATAAATAAAATAAAATAAAATAAAAATTCAAATACTATCCTAGTAAAGAACATGTCCCATTTGGGTATAAGTTCTGTTTTCAAAACATATTTTGATATTTTCTGTTAATTTTATTCTAAATAAATATTCACAAACATTTAATGCTTCTACAAAGGAAATATTTTGGACTTCCATCAGCATTGTAAAAATTCAAAAACCCAGAAAAATGGCTCACCATGTATGAACTGAAAATCACACAGCTTATATTAAATTACAGAAAGCATTGCAATACCCAATTTAATCTGTGCAGAAAATGATCAGTTTTCTACAGTCACCTATGTTTGGAAAATGTGAGCATACATCATTTAAAAATAGCCATAGTTACTCAAGGCAAAACTATAAAGCAAGAGGTCCGTGAACACTTTAGGCCAATTAATGAAGAATGCTAACATCTCTTGACTTTCTGAACATAGTAAAAACAAGAATTTTGAATGCAGAAAATGGACGGCGGGCTAAAAACCGGAAATATTTATGATACTTCAAAAGATGAAACGTATGTATTGAACTCTATATAAGCATATAGTATACAACTTTTAAAATTTACAAGTTAGCAAGTACTTACTTCATTCCTAAAACTCTCTTTGTGGTAGACAGAACAGTATTATCCTATTTTACAGATGAACTAAACTTAAATAGTTATCTAAGTAATCTAAACCACATAAATAGGAAGTGGGAAAGCCTGAGTGAACTAAGATCTATTTGTTTTGAAGTATTATTATAGGCCTGTGTCTCTAGACTTTCTATAATTTGTATGTCCAAACACAGAACAAGAATGTGTAAAATGCTAACATTGCTGCTCTTCAACTTAGTATAAAGATAATTTAATATGATTGTAATAAAACACGTTTTAACTGACCCGTGACCTAGAATTTCAAGATGTTAATTATACCCACAAAACGTCACTCTCTTTATTGTATCTCCAGACACTTACCACTAGGTGGCTACATCCAGCTTTAACATTTTTGGTGCAATTAAAAGAGAAACCACTAATATTTTACACAGTTGAAAAATTTGCTCTTACCCTGTAAAAGAGAATGCTGAAATCACGTACCATTTTCACAAGGTGATGGGTCTGTTCATCTGTTAACTGACAAGCCTTAAAATGAAAAAACCGAGTATAGTCACATACACAAAATATGTGTTAATTGACTTTACCTTACCAGTAAGGCTTTTAGTCAACAGCAGGCTATTAGTAGTTAAATTTTTAGAGAGTCAAAAGTTGCCTGTAGATTTTTAACTGTGCAGGTCCCCAGCCCCTGAGCCATTCAAGGGTCAACTATATATGCATATCTTCCAGAACTCTATTTCTCATATACGTAACTTTTAATGGCTAATGCTAAAACCACCATTCCTACTTATACATTTTAACTGTAAATTCAAATAGTTATTGAATATTTGTTCTGTATTAAACATTTTCAAAGTCCCAGAATTGTCCATGAGGCACCTTGTGAAGTCTTGCTGGATTTGAAAAAAATTAAAAAGAAAAACATAAAACAGAATGAAAGAAGAGAGAGAGAAAAATAGGCACAGGAGTAGAAAACTATCAAGTTCACTCTCAGGCCTTAAAGAGACACGAATTTATATACAAGCATTAATATCAAAGTGCTTATTAATACATGGAAAAACTCAGAAGCAGAAGTTACTAAAGAATTTTTTGGTGAGCAAGGCTAGCATAAATCTCAGTGTTACCACTGTAGAATTAATTATTATTTCGCACATGTTCTTTCAATGGTAATTTCGGAAGAAATCCTGTCTAGTGTCTTAGCCTTGTTGTATGTGAGTGAATATGTATATGTACAGTTGACTCTCGGACAACATGGGTTTGAACTGCCTGGGTCCACTTAGACGTGGAATTTTTTTAGTCAAACAGGATTGAAAATACAATATTCCCAGGATATAAAACCTGCTTACATAGAGGGCCAATTTTTTGTACATGGGGGTTCTGCAGGATTGACTGTGCATCATACATAATAATACCTGGGTTCTTTTTTCAAAAAAATTTTCCATAAAGGTCTAAATGATTTTAGAAAGCTCATTTCTGTTAAAATTCTGTTTCATTATGTCCATACAGAACTATCTAATTTAAGCTATCATTAATTTGTTTCTTGTAAAACTTAATTGCTACTGGTTTATGTTTTCCAAAACTATGTAGAAGTATCAACACAAAGTACAGAGGTATCTTTGGATTTATGTAAGAAAATAATTTAGTCAACAGTTAATTATTATGTAAAAATAATTTAGCTAATAATAACAGATCTAGATAAAAGACTTAATGAGACTTAATGCAGAGTTCTTACCTAGAAACTAAAATACACATTCTACCTGGGTTTGGATTCTAACTCTGACATTCTCAGAATCTTGCCCTATTAATTACCATCATTCTCCTTCTGTAATTTTAACCTCTCCTGCTCTACCAGTTTTTTTTTTTCTTTTGTTGCAACATATAAATAGATTCAGGTCTTTCCTGCTGAAGAAGGAAAAAATCCACCACAACAAACCCATTCCTTAACTTGGTATCCCCCATAGCAGTCTGATCTTCACTCCAATCTAAGCTATTTGAACAAGAACTCTCAATTCTGTTTCACAGATTTCTCATTCCTCAGTCCCTCCTACCTGACTTCTATTCTCATCATTCTACTCATACAGCATTTCCACATGTTACCAACAGCTGTAAATAAGAACGTATAAGTGTGTATAGAATGTGTATTTAGCATATATTTGATAGAGAAAAAGGAAGCAGTGAGTTTAGTTCATTCACACATTGTAAAAATACCTTTTAATGGCTACCACACGCCAGACACTGTATTTGTAAGTTTGGATATGTCAGTGAATATGTGAATAAAGTGAATAAAGTCCCCTTGTGGACTTTAGAGATTGCATTCTAGCAGGAGGGGATAGATTTTAAACCTGCAGTCCCCAACTTTTTGGTGAATATGTGAATAAAGTGAATATGTGAATAAAGTGAATAAAGTCCCCTTGTGGACTTTAGAGATTGCATTCTAGCAGGAGGGGATAGATTTTAAACCTGCAGTCCCCAACTTTTTGGTAGTAAGGACTGGTTTCATGGAAGATAATTTTTCCATGGATAGGGAGGCAGGAGGTGGAGCTCAGGCTGTGAGTGATGTGAGAGATGGGGAGTGGTTGTAAACACAGATGAAGCTTCACTCCCTCCTATGCCACTCACCTGCTGCAGTGCACTCTGGTTCACAATAGGCTATGGACTGAACCGTTTTGGCACCAGGGACCAGTTTCATGGAAGACAATTTTCCACTGACAAGGGAGGGGAGCTGGGAAAGTAAAAGGACAAGAGGTAGGCTTCAGGTGGTGATGCTGTGTGGCAGGCTTCTTAACAGGCCACGTCCATGGCCTGGGGGTTGGAGACTGCAGTTTTAAACACTAAATCTAACAAGTAAATATTATATCTAAAGGTGATAAATGGTATGGAGAAAATAAAAAGCAAAGCAAGTTAGGTTAGACTGGGGATGTGAGGTGTGGAGAGGAAGGAGGGGATGTACAAGGCAATTTTAAACACGGCGATCAGAGATGGTGAGCTGAGAAGTGAACATGAGACAAAGATGGGAAGAAAGACATCTCAAGCCTGAGAAGACGGTGTTACTATGACTCAGATTTAAGTGCTCACACTGGTCCCTTCACAGTACTGAAAAATAGAGACATAATTTTAAAAAACACTTATAACCTACTTTAACAGCTGGGTGGAGACCACTGTCAAAGAGAGCTTCATTTCTGATGATGTTCCCTACCCCAGGCAACACTTTCTGATCCATTAACACATCACATAGCATGCGACCTTTCTGCTTTTTAACTTCACTTTCTGCTCTTGAAAAACTAAATTTAGGTGAACATACATCTACTTCTCCCATCATTCTTATTCTCTGTTGGCTCTCCATTGAGTTTCTGTAGAAAGAAATATAAAACACATTAATCATAAGTCTGGTTACAATTTCACAAAGTATCACTTAAAATGAGTTTTGGTATAAATATCAACACTTTATGTTAATCAGGGCATAAGAGTTATATAGGCAAACAATGAAAACCTTAACAAATTATATTTTTGAAGCTTCCTTTAAAATGGGTTTTCATTCATTCATTTATTTATTATGATTAATACATATGACATCCCAAAACAAGCTCTGAGGTTTTGCAGCTGGAGCACCTTTGTTTTATTTTTTACCTTAGTTCTACCGATGAGTCAAAGAAACAAATCAAATCTTTAGAAAGCTGTATTTCAAAAACAGGAGAAATTCCATTTCTGTTTTTATACTCAAGTGGATTAATCATGATTGAGCCTTTCATTCCAAAATGAATCCTGAAACAAAATCAAACCCTTTTTTTGAGCAGCAGAAAGTATAAAATACATCAGATTTTTTTTCTTTTTACTTCATTTTTTGGGTTTTAAGTAAACAAATGTTAATCAGGATAGGCACCTTTAATGGGAAAGAAATGGTAGTGATACAATTCTGTATTTTTGTTACGGCTTTGTATCCTTACAAAGCTACCATCAGTTTTTCAACTCACAAATAAAATAACTTCTCAGGGAAATAATAAAGCCTCAACACTAAGCCAAATAAAACACACCCTTGCTCTTCTTTTCTTGTCAGATGAAGTATCTTTTATTCACAGAACCAGCTAGCATTTCTTGGCCTTTTCTCAGATTCAAAGACTTGGGATCTGATAAGGCTAAATTTAAATTGCCTATAGTTTGTGTTTTTATAAATTCTACAATGCCACTAACATTGACATTCCTTATTTCTAGTCACAATAGATTGAAAATGTTTGTCTACTGCACAATAACATCTACAGTTTCATATATTCTTTACTTCAAAAAATTGCTGGAACAATTTTTTGCACAATCTTATATATCAAAAAAAAATTAAAAAGAAAAAAGAGGGAGAGAGAGAGTAAGTTAAAATGCTATTGTCTTCAATTCTTTTTGTTTTCTTTTACCTTTATGTCTGTTGGAAAGAGGAGATTTATAAATATTTACAGTTAACTTTAAAGCCACAATGTAGTGATGAAAAATTTATAACCTTTCAGATTTTATAGAATTGATTAGCATGTCCCGTAAAAAAAAAAAAAAAAAAAAGGTTCTGTGAGACCACTGATGATGATCAAAAATGATTCTCAAAATGAAATGTACTGTGTCCGGCCTTTCAAATCCTTCTCCTTATAGTTTTGTTGAGTTAATAAATATGGCTCTTTTGGCAGCAAATGTTACTGCTCTATGCTTCTAATCTCAAAGCACCATGTTATAGTATCACACAAGGTTAACCAGTATAACTTCAAAAATGTGGGTTTTAAACTCTGTGTGCCCTACTATCAATCACAAATGCATTTTACATGCCCCATGGTGCTGGACAGGAAAAATGTGTGCCTGTAAGTACTCCATAATTTAGCTCATGGAGGTCCAACCCCGGTGAAAGGGATACAACTGTCATGCCTAGAAGCCATTACATCTAAAATCTTTTCAGCTGCATGGCTCATAGAGTGGATTCTAAATCACTTTCTATAATGAAATCACATCTACATCAAAACTCTCAAAGGTTAAGACTCAATTGAAATGCAGGACTAGCCCCAATAAGAATTCTACATCAAATAAGTATATGCCTTTGTCATATAATACATTTATTCAATTTAGAGAAAAATGTTCACAAAATAACTGGTTATTTCATTTTTTGTTTCTACTAAATAGCTAAGTATTATAATTGAGCTCTAATTAATCTTGAATTGCCAAAAATATATCATTGCCATGAAAATTTTTGAGAGCCACTGTAAACATTTATTGTTGTAATAACTGACATACTGAATTTTATAGACCAAGAAATAGGTCCATGTTATAAGACAGTCAGGAAAGAGATCTCAACTGTTTCACTTGCTGTTCAAGATTCCTTCTAACTAATTTAGAAAAATATTATTAGATCCTTATTTCTACCTCTATCCTCCTCAAGGTCCTTCTACCCTTAATCTAAAAAGTTACCTGAGACCATTTACTCTGCATAACTTAAGTCTGCTTGCAACCACACCTGCCTGGTCCAAGGTGGTCCAGCCTGGACTGGTCTATTCCTTCCTCAGATCCCAGGCTTTTCATAAATTGGATCCATTAATGTCCAAGCTAAATTCATTGGATCTCCTGATGAGTCCTGATGAACAATTAGGATGCAGAGTGATCAGTTTCTACTTACTATTAAGAGATTTAATATAAAAGCTGTTTATGGAAATGCTTCCCAACATGGGCCTAGAGAAGCTAAGGGTGTCCTGTCTGCAGAGACCATAGCAGATTTCAGTGAGGAGCAGACTCAAGAAATGAAGGCAGTCTATGCATCTAGTTCTCTTGGAAGCCCACCTGTATCATCTCCAGGTTTCATTAGACATCCCATTATTCTATAACAGTTTTTGAACTTGCTGGAGTTGGGCTTTCTGTCATTTGTGACCAAAGTTCCAATGTAAAAATAACACCCAAGCTAAAAACTTAATTGTGATATGAAAATAGTTAAGAAATTGCTTTCTAAAAGAAATGAATAAATTAGTCCTGATCTTATTATAAACATCAGCCACATTCTTCCAGGCTATCATTATTATTACTATTTTTTGTTTTTTTTTTTTTTTGAGACAGAGTCTCACTTAGTCAACCTGGGTTGAGTGCCATAGCTCATAGTCACAGCAACCTCAAACTCTTGGGCTAAAGTGATTCTCTTGCCTTAGCCTCCACCACAACGCCCAGCTATTTTTAAAGACAGGTCTCACTCTTGCTCAGGCTGTTCTCAAACTCCTGAGCTCAGGCAATCTGCCTGCCTCGGCCTCTCAGAGTGTGAGCCACTGCACCTGGCCCATTTTCCAGGCTGTCATTCTCAGACTAACCTGAACACCTTGAGGAAGCACACACAGCCGTGACAAAACAGGTTCAGGTCACAGGCTGTTAGAGGTTTATGTCAATGACACCACATACTGCACATAAGACAACTGCTTACGAAAATCAGCAAGTGATCAAAGTGTCCTAAGGGTAACAAAGAGTAGAAAATAGCTAAATATAATAATTGTAAAATCTCTTGAAATTCAGAAAAAGAGGATGTAAAGATACGGTTTTGCTAAAAAAGGAAGCAGGAAGTTCTACTTCTAGTTAGGCTACAGAAGAGTACTGAAAGTGAACACAGCTCTCACCCTAACAAGGAGGGGAAAATCACACTATTTACAAAATCCTACATTTCCTTAAGCTAAGGTGACCAGATTTTAACATTGGTAAAGCAGGACACCAGTGACCAAGGCAGGGGGTGGTTCTTAATTAAAAATTTGGTCTACATGAAGCAACAAAAATTTTCATAGAACGCAAAAACAGTATTGTAATGTATTTTTTTAATTTCAACATAAGTACAATTTACAAATCTAATACATTAAAAAATTATGTATAGTATTATTTTATTCTTTGGCATATTTCTCATTTGAGTGAATTTTTTTTAGTAGATTGCTGTCATTGTTTAAAAGGTCATGAAATTTTTCACAAGAATTTATTAAATTAAATTTCACACGTAAAATGGCTTTCAAAGTCTCAACACTTAATTGTGATTCTTCTGATGTCCACACTTTATTTACCTTAGAAAAAACACATTCAGTCGCAGCATTAGTTTCTGGTAAGGACAGCACGTATCCCACAATTTTTAGTGCATTATTGTATGGAACATGGTTTGTTTCAAAATGATGAAATATTTCTAACCATTTGTTCTCTATTGTGATTTTTGCTGATGCCCAAGAGTTAACCTTTTCCTTATCAATATATTTTTTTAATAATGATACCTTGTAAGTCGTAAGTGTCACTTTCAAGGTCAGCGCTAGACTTTTTGCTGCCACTATAAAATATAAATAAATTCATGAAATAAAAAAATAAATTACTTACCTAAATTATCTGAATAGCTGATTTGTTGACATCATTTGTTTAACTAGCACTAGCACGCAGTATGATGTATATCGTTTGAGATAGTTACAAAATGTTTTGTAGTTGCCAATGCCAAAAACTGCCATTGTTCATTAAGTCCAAATAATGGTGATGGAATTCTAACAACTGAGCAACAATGTGAACTTTGATAATCAGTTCTCAGCAATTATTTATTATTAAAGTTTAACATTATAAAATCAACAAAAATAATATAAAACTCATATCCTGGTGAAATAGCCACATGGCAGCCCAAAACCGTCTATTACCTTCCCATTCTCCCTCGATTCCCTAGCTTGTCATGCATTCTTTCCAAAAATCGAGACTTTTTAAAAATGCTGCGGGACGTGGGACAAATTGTTAAAAATCGGGACTGTCCCGCCAAAAGCAGGACGTCTGGTCACCTTACACAGGTGAGCTAAATTCCAAAAAGTAATAAGCCCCTCCAAGGAAAGGGAAGTCAAAATGTTTCACCTTTGACAGGGCACAAGAGGAAGAGAAGTCTACCATAAAAATAGGTAAAAACAGCCAGGCATGGTGGCTCACACCTGTAACCCTGGCACTCTGGAAGGCTGAGGCAGGTGGACAGCTTGAGCTCACAGTTTGAGACCAGCCTGAGCAAAAAAGCAAAAGCAAGACCTCACCTCTACTAAAAATAGAAAAACTGAGGCAAGAGGTTTGCTTGAGTACAAGAGTTGGAGGTTACTAGGAGCTATGATGTCATGGCACTCTACCCAGGATGACAGCTTGAGAAAAAAATAGGCAAAAACAGCTAAAGTTTTCAACAAACTTTTAAATACTGAACTTGAGCTAACAATTTAGAATCCCTGGAGCCCCAGACATGAGGAAAGTATACACTTGTGAATGTCCACCAGTTACCTGCAGACAAGAAAGATGTGAGTCATGGTAGGTGACCAAAAAAGCAGCCCTTGGTGGCATGACATGTGACTGTAAGAAACACTGCTTGCTTTTTTAACACTTCTCTCATGTAGACAGAAACCTTAAAGTCTTAAGCTTCTCTAGCTGAGGGAGAGGCAGAGACAGAAGTCATCTGTCCTTGATGGAGGAATAGGAAACCTCCTCTGCTCAAACAATTTGTCTTACACCAAACAGCAAGCACAAGCAGTCTGCTATGGGGGGTGAGCAGGAAACCCTTCTGGCATCAAGCCCAGGCAAGTTGCACTGCTGCTGAGGGTAAGGTAGAAGTAAAATCCCTAGGGCTGAGGCAGAAAATCAGCTTTGGTCCAGAATCCTGCAATGATATGAAAAGAAATCTCTATCACTGGAAACTCTCTGACCCAAGAGCATCTACAGATGCAGGCCAGAGTTTGGCTCCACAGGAAGGAGAGGGACAGTAACCCTGAGAAAGCTGCAACCCTGAGGTC